GCGTTTTGAGCACTTTAGAATGTTCACCATTCTCGGACGAGTCGAATTTATATAATGTAGATATTGCAAAAATTAAAATTTGTTTGAGAGCATATTCAGATTTATGAAGCACTTACAAGAAACCAGAGAATATCTAACATTAAATTTTAATCGGCAAATTAATCTTGTATACGATAGTAATCCCCATCATATTAGATATTAGCAGATTCCACAACAACGAGTTGTGATCGCGTCCTGGAGTACGAGCTATGGTTACCAAACTGTGCTCTTTTCCATACGCTCGTCCGCCTTCTACAAACGAGGAATGACATACTATTATCTCTGTGTATGGGGAGAAGCTTGGTCAAAATTAGACATTGTCAGTGGACAATCAAATGCGAGATTTGTAGAGTTGTGTTGTGAGACAGTAACACATACTTTTCTTTCTGACTATAGTGATTTTAAAATGTTATATTCTAATTATTCAACATCGTATTATGTTCATTTGCATAACATAATTTGTGACTTATAAAAGACAAACTTACTGGTTGACGTGATTTATATTCCATCCTTCAATATATGCTTTATCTTTCACTGATTCGATTGTAAAGCTCCCTTGATTTAATTGGTGTTTTCATTTTGCTTTCGAAAATTTAATAATAAATGCTCATTGGTTAGACGACAGCTTGATGTTTGACTTCCGAAATATGACAGTAACTGTTCTAGTTCATCGTGAATGATTGGTAGATGCTTCTGTTTTCAAATCGATTCAATTTATCAATCATGATGCGCAAGTGTTTTGCCTAATTAGTGCATATAATATGCCATCACTGAGAATGGAACGATTTGTCGTTTCATCACTGATACAGCAACGTCGAACTGAATAGTATCCGTCGGGGTGTACTTCATCGCAGTCTTACTCAGTGTGAACGTGGCTTTCTAGAGATAAACAGTTCAATGCTGTCTTATTTATGCCTTATGTAATTGAATCGAGTGTCACGTGACTTATATAGAACTGCGCTTACATTTGAGGGCGTGCTTCAATGTAGCAAGTACAAAGAGTGGTAATTTCGAAAACTATTATTTTCAACAATCATTTTATTATTATGTTTTGTAATCGGTCAATCTTAAATTTAACTTATTGTTCAATTCATATTCGTCTATATAGTTGTTTAATAAATCAAAACTAACTTAATCAAATTATTTTAATTCCAACTGACGGGGAATCATTTTGTAGAAGGTAGCTGTCGTATTACGTTGATTGACGACACGGCGGGGTTGAGGAAGAGGTAGATCAACATGAACTCACTTAAAGGACACTCATATTACGATTTTAAACAATTTCTTAACATAAACCACGAACTTGAATCATTTCGGCGGAGTGTGAACATGTTGTGATAATTCAGAGAATAACTCGACACAAGCTTTCACATATCGCTAGAGTGAGAATATCATCTTGTCATCATTTGTATGTACACTCGCTTCGTTAATTTTCAATCTAAATTTAGTGATGGGTGAAACATATATTCACTGTATCCAATCGGCATGTATTGTCATCAGTTCGAATAACGAATAAATGGCCAGGGAACAGTCACAAACAATCTATGCTCGATTATTTGCACACGAATATATATGCTACCCAAAATATGAATTCCTTTCGCGTTCAAAAAATCGTTTTATCTCATCGATTGTATTCGATACTGTCTTCGATTGGTCGACTACGCGACGGTTTGCCAAGGTGGGAGAGAACAGAGAACAATTATGTTGACGTATAACACGTTTTACTGTCACTTTGGCGTGTGCCTCACTTAACTTTCAACACTCACAGTTTAACACGACATCATGTCGAAACACACACAGCAGATGGTAACGTTCACCAAAATACTTAGCCATAAGAGACATGGTGTGGTATATAGGGACAACTTAAAACATGCCTTATACAAATATTAACTGACAGAGCTTTATTGACTGTAATTTGTCTTAAATGGTCGACGCTTTACTAATTAGCAGATAAGATAGATCTATAATAGGAACACAATACCTACTGCTCCTCTCGTACTTTTCTTTATACTTAATGTTATAACGTATAATTGATATATAAATAACAATGGCTGCACTTTCATCGTTGGAATTCTGTTTTCTATTGTGTGAAATTGCACGTGTATTTGTGTAAACCGACAATTCATTAGAGAATTTTAAGTGATTTTATTGTTAGCCTCTTGGTAGTAGAGTGTATCTATCGTTTAAAAGTGGTTAGTTAATATCGCAGTCACGTGTCATAATGTGATTATATCTTTTAATGCATTTCTTGGGTATCCTGTATTCACACTGGATGGAGACTTGATCATGAACTTTATACGACATGCCAGGTATCTTCCTAAATGTCTTGACAGTTATTTTATAGCCTAATAACAGTTATTTTGCGGTGCAAAATAATATTTCTTTGCAATATTGAAATTGGGAATTAAAAAATACAGCAACAGATGTGTCTGTGACGTCAGAGTGCGGTTGAATTACAAGTGTGTGTCATATTTCACAGAGACGTCACTGGATGGGTTATATTAATTTCAATTTCAATAAACTTGAAAGTAGTAATACGTTTTTTCTCATTTTTTCTAAACACGTCATTTACGACTTGGTGTTAGTTGAACTTCTTTTCATGTCATTTTGAACAACCTTTGTGACCTACTTTTGTTTATGTTTGCTCTGTACCCTCGTGTTTTTGTTGTGCAATGCGCCCTAATATTCATTGTGCTCGTTGTTCGTTGTGAAATGCACTTTGTACTCGTGCTGTAATTGCTGTGCGTCATTATGCCCATTTTGCAGTTGTCTATTGTGCTCGTTGTGCAGTGCGCCCCGAGGTCATTATGCAAGGTGTCCTTGTAATAGGTATGCAGTACGTGTTCTATTGTGCTTGTGCGGTGCACCCTTATGTTGGTAGTTCAGTGCGTCTTTTTACTCGTTGCACAGCGCTCGTTGATCGACTCGTTGATCAACCAATATGTCTATTATAACTTGTCAATATCACATTGTTATCACATGTTAGAAACTTTGTTATTATTCGACTATGTGTATGCCCTCTGTATATCCTGTAATTTCAACATTTGTTTTGTTTGTCATTTTCTGTGACGCCCATTCAGCTTCTCTGAACCTGGAATAACGTAAATTCTACAAATAATCGCGATATAGCAACAAATTAATACACTGAATTACACTTAGGCATGAACGGTTTTATAACTTCGCCAACCAAAATTTCTTCCGCGTAATCGGGCATGATTGAGAGGAAGAAGCATGGATTTGTGGGTAATTTGTGTTTCTCTATCCGTTGGAAACGTCTTCTGTTGATTTGAAAGTAAAGTGAAGATAAATGTGTTGTATATGCTTTATAAATGTCCAACTCCACATTCATATGATGATGATCAACAGTATACACAAATTTTAAATTAATTCCAAGATTAATGCCAATATTTTTGGTATATTTTGACTACCTATCCTGGCGCGAAACATTTTGCGAAACTCTTTATACATAAACCAGATTACCGTGAATAAATATCACTAATTTTGAAGACACTGAACGATGACAATGTCAATACGGCGATCGTAAACTTGCAATCGATGAAGCACCCACTCATTATCACTAAAACCCTACAATTGAACATCCTCATCCGTGTTACAATCAACACACTTGGTATCATTGATGCGTATCCTTTATGTTATCTTCTTAACCACATTGCATGTAAACCAAAACCAACCAGGAAGAGCAGTCTCCGATAAAATCACGACAGAATCCCATCTTAGAACACGGGGTCAGACATTGTTCCGCTTTACTAGGCACTAATGCTTTTAGAGTTCTATCCGTTTACGTGTTCAACGAATAAACGCCTAAAGAAGTAAACTCGTAAACAATGCCATTTACTCTCTAAGTGCGTTGATGTACGGTGTAAAAGGAAATACAATCGTGGATACACAAAGAACGCCATTAAATGAGAAAGAGGAAGTGTCGACATTGCGACGAGTTATTATTTCAATATATTTGGTTTCATCTATCCAATATTTATTCTTATCCGTCGAGCGTGAGTATAGCTGTAGATCTAAAACATGGCGATGGGGATTGTAATTCATATTAAAAAGTATTCATAGGCGTACTGTTTTCTCCGGTTGTACTGAAATTTTCTTTTTGATAAAATTAATGTTTACTGAGTTAAGGAGGCGTATCCCAGTGGCGATGTCATAAAGAAGAATAAGTGTTGTTGTTTTTCGGCACGCCCATATAGAAAGGACATCGAATAAGTAGTACACATGACAACGAAACCCGATATTAATATTCGAATCAATACCTTAATATGTGTGACTAGAGATAAAAATGTAAAACAATCACTTGACTAACCACTTTAAATTAGAGACTGAGTAATCGTATAATTACGAAAATGTTTGACTAGGAGCTAAACACAACCGTTTTTCAATTACTGACCTCTCATGTTCACTTCTTAATTACAACTAATAGAAATCAAAGTAATGCAATACAACTGTCCCTGGAGTGTATGTAATGAAACCCCCGTAATATACCTGGTCAAAATGAATGTATGCCAGTATCATTGCAAGGAACAATATCATAGTATGTACGTATAACGGTTATTATACAGTAATTACAGAAACCGTGTAATATCGTGATGTTTTATTGGAATTTCAATTTGGCGATAGTCGTCATACGGTGCGCTTTCTAATTGTGCGTAAAAAGCAATGTATACGTTGTATGGAGCCAATATCTATCACGATGCGTCGCGGCGACCATCGACCGTCTATCATGATGGAACTACGCCACTTAATGAATCTGGACAACTCGGCAATACCAATTGGGCTGGTCTGGGCAGAAGAGAAGTAGTTTGAAAATAACTGAGATATGGACAGCACGAAAATCCATTATAAAAGCCACATGTAAACATCAGTTTCCGTGGATGAGGGACATTAAGTTCTGTGACCGTCATTATCAACGGAGAGTCAACATCATGATGCCATGCAAATAAAATAATTTAATTTATTGTCGCAAAGAGCTGACTATTCACTGATAGTTATACAGAAAAAAAACAAGTCAAAGCTATCACAATAAAAGTATTGTATGTAATAACACGAATTATGTACAATATAAATCTCATTTACCTTACCCATTGCGATACACAACGGATGTGACGTAGTGACCGACATCAAACAATAAGTATGTGTGCTAATAAGATGGTGGCGTGTCATACATAATACTTTCGAAGAATTAATTGGACATTACCGGTAAATTTAAATAGATATAATTATGAAATTTGATGTGGTTCTTCAGCCTGAGAGAAAATCATTATCGCTTTCATTGTCAAGTTGTCACATTGTTTCACTGAAGAACAAAATCGCGTGACGTAGCCGTTTCCATGGAAACCTCAATGTCTTGATAGGAGCTTCAACATAGAGAAATATTAAAACAAAAGTCCATGTTATGGTGGATTGTTAATTAGCTTATTGCCTCGTAATGTTTCTTCTTCTCATTGCGTAATGCATTTCGTTTCCATTCTTTGTTAGGTACAAGAACAAGACAAAGTTGCTTTTCCAGCCGTGACACTCCAATACACTGTGTCACACCCGAATAAACATTTCAAAACATGTTTCTCATAAATACGCTGGGGTGTTTGTCTATACAAAACTCTGAGACGGACCCCAATATGGCAGACATTAAAAATTATAAAATATATTACTCTAAAAACATGATGTAGTTTACTTCTAAACTGAAATTGTCAATCAGGTAAAGATGTAAAATTTTTGTGTTATTTACAAGATTATATTAAATGTCATTTCATCTATCAAATCATGAGGACTGGTTTTCGAAATCAATGCGAATCACATCGACCGATGTTGATGACGTCATTAATGCATGCGCAAGGTCGTTCGATTTGTCTTCTCTGTCGATGACATCGCAGCTACTCACTGATGACGCGTCGTCGTCTTTATCCTCGTCCAAATTTTCGCTCATTTCTGTGTCCTCCTTTGTTTGGTTGCTAGTACTTTTCTTTTGTTGTTTTTTGTGTTTCATTCTTCGGTTTTGAAACCACGTCTTGACCTAAAAATAAATATAACATATTTTAGGTGAATTAATCATGCTTACCGGGACACAAACAAGCACAGCTCGTTAACTGCTTAGGTACCAGGCTACATGGTACCAGAGACATTCCAAAAATGATTTGAGTTTCACCGATAAAATCTACGGCAATGTTTCTCTGCACTAATGTTAACAACATAAAAGTGAAATTGAAACATTGATGCTAAACTTAGATTGCATTATTCAATTGGTATATAATTGCCATGATTAGATCCGTGTATCATGATAAGCCTCTTTGATCACGTGAGTTGTGGTGAATTGACGGGTGATTCCAAGTTGATACTGCATAAGGGCCCATGAATTGTCAAAGGAATATTTCTAAACTACCAACGTTTGAGTTTAGAAATGTCGGGGATGTTACTCTAGTTAGTTTCACAGACTTGTGATAACATTTCGGGTGGGTTTAGTTCGCTAGCGCTGATTGTGACATTGACAACATCACTGCCATCTAATTGTAAATTGCAACAAGCGGTGTCATGATTTTATCATGCATTTCATCAAAATCGCCTGTGTTGTTCGGCATTTCAGACAACGCGGACGGTCACTGACCGTTGAATTCGCCGTCGTTTTCGTTACCGTGTAGTATCAACACAATTCGAGGTGGTCGATCTTCGTTACATGCTTGGTAAAATCGCATTTCAGTTAAACTGTTACCATGAAAGACAATCGTGAATCAAGTTTCGTTCCTACATTTTCTCTCTCCCGAAAGTTAGTGTTAATTTTGAATGTGATGATGAATTGTTAATTATCTAAAAATAAATAATCGTTAATAGAATATCGAAACAGGTCGACAAAAATAGGTGGTGTATTTTGTTTCCATATCTACTTGAGAGGTTCCCTTATTTAAGCTCTCCTTGTCAAATACTTAAGGTATATGGTGTTCCGTGGCGATCATGTCAGCCTATCTGACACGGGAGAATACTAAGTCGATTTGGTTTTAACATTCTTGGCGACAGCTTATTTAAAGGTTCACGCTAAATTGTGATGCTGAGAGACTGGTTTTTGTAGAGAGGTCGACACGGCGGGTAGCGGCCCACGTTGTCTCAAAAACATCAGTTGTGAAATATGGCAAGGAATAGATTGGGACTTCGAAAATACTGCATCGTGCACGCTGTCTCGCATTTAACTGGGCGTAACGCTTTTTAAAAACACTAATTTACCTATATTGTTGACATAATTGTATTATATTCTTTTGTATAGAGCAGTAAAATTCATCGTCTTTCAAATTTATCGAATTCAATGTGTGTGTAGGATAATGCATTGAATCCGAGCCTTTTTTTGTATAATAAATTTAGAAAAACATCTTATCTATTGCGGTGGGACACATGGGGAAGTTAGCAGTCTTCGTAGAATACCTATTCTCCTTAAGTTCTATCTCATCTCAGAATCGTATTACAACGTATAGTCAGTAAAATGGTCACTTTAGCTGGCGATAAATGTATAAGGCTTTGTGGCCACGATAAATTGCGGCCACTAGGACACACATAGGATTACCCCGGGGGAAAATAAATGGAATCACTGTCCAGTCGCCCGGGTATGAGGATTAGCTGCATTTACTGGTTCTCCGATACAATTGGTGTAATTATTTTTTGTTGATGATAGTTCGATGGCCTCAATTCGCAATACATAAGCAAAATGAATGCTGTTCAGCCTGGTTGAGATATGATACACACACAATCTATGTACGCTTAGTATTTCAAGTTGCTTGGAACTGTTCTTGATGTTATTTTTTTTACCCGCAAGTACTACGAATTGGAATTACAGATGCATGAAACAGAATACAACGGAACATTTTTTAAAAAATGAAATCAAAACAGACAAAGAAACAATATTATATAGCGACCGTGACCAAGCAAGCTGTGTAGATATTTTTCTCCAAAAAGCAAGGTTAATTACGTCGTGAATCTGAATCCCGAGTTATGAACACACCATGACAACCGAAAAACAGTGTCACAAACTCTGCTACGATGTGTTGTACTTTTTGTTCTGTAACATGGGATATTTTCAATGTTGTGTATCACATTTAAATATACTCCGAATGTTATCATACACCGCCAGCT